TTTAAATATAATAAATACAGATATTCAATTACAACAATTAATCATGGCAACACATGTATTAATAATGAAAATTAATTTTAAATATCTAAATAATTCAATAATAATTAATAATAATATTGATATTTAATTTTAATATAAAAGTTGTATAAAAATTCTTTCTATGCGAAAATTCTAATAACTTATAAAATGTCTACTTCAAATTTATTTAAAATAGAAAGTAATGATTCTATTTCCTGCATTCAAGAAGGATGTACTTATAGAAATCGTAAACCTATCAATAGACAAAAAAGTATTGCAGATCACTATAAACGAAACCATCTTGAAATTTATAAATATCAAAATAAACCTTATTCGAGAACTTTTAACCGATTGAATAAATATATTAAAAATGAAGAAATCTTTCTTGAAGAAACTTCTAATTCTAATGGAAAAGGAAAAAGAATTATATATTACGAAAATTCAGATGGTACTCAAAATCGATTTTTAACAAGAGATGATTGTATACAAAATAAAAATTGTTTTTCTTTTCATTTTATAAATGGTGTTAAATATTTTAATTTTAAATTTTATAAAGCTGATAATGGTTATGAAATGAAAATCTTTTTAGGTCATGAGATGTTAAAATATAATGATAATTGTTTAAATGATTTTAATTTTAGTTTTGTTATTTTTCAAGATACAAAACCATTTGATATTATTAATAATGAATTTTATCTTTTAAATAATGATATTAAAATATTAAAAATTTATTTTAAAGAAACTATTATTTTTGCAACAGATAAGTTTATTAATTTATTCAATTAATATTAATATTTTAATTATTCATTACTGTATTTTATATGTTATTTTTAATTAAATAAATTTATATTATTAATTTTTTTTTTAAATATAAATAAATGTAAATTTTAAGAATATTAATTATAAAAAAAAATTAATATCTAAAAATATGAATTTACAAAATACTTTTAAAAGCTTTTGCTGTCCAGTTGTACTTTATCTTTATGGACCTGGTGAAAGTGGAAAATCTGGGTTAGTTACAGAGTTATTTGGTGATGAATTATACAAGAAACTAGAAATGATAAAATCAGAACCTGATTATTGGGATGGTTATAATGGACAAGATATTATTCTTTTTGATGAATGTGATACAAAGATTAATTATAGTACTTTAATTAATCTTTTAAATGGTATCAAAACTCATATAGAAATTAAAAATGAATTTGTTCTATTTTGTACAAAATATATATTTATGACAAGTACTAAACCACCTGGTGAAGCATTTGGTTTTGATGATTCAAATAAACGTGATCTTGAACAGTTTAATAGACGTCTTGATTTTGTGATTGAATTTACTGGTAAATGGGATGATGATATAGAAAGAAGAACAACAGAGATAATATTTCGTAAAGGTGATGAGATAAAATTTCGTAATATGGAATGGGATATTGAATATATAAATGGAAAATATAATATCAATGAAAAGCAAGATAAAAATATCGATGGTCATATTGTGATGAATAATGGAAAAGTTTATTTTCAACAAAAATTTCCAGATTATATGAAAAAATATCTTTATGATTTTCCTAATTCAAAACCATTGTCTGAATATAAAAACCAAGATGAAAAGGAATCTTTAAAGTCAATTATTCCTATATTTAAAAAAATTAACGATTTACAAAAATATCTTTTTTTCAAAAAAAATAATGAAATTTTAAACCTTGATGATTTTCAATATGAGAAAGATGATAATGAAAATACTCCAAAAATTATTGCATCTCATAAAAAAGGAAAATATTTAGATAAAGAATCTTTTGTTGTTGATATTGATTCGACTTATAATTTCTATTACAAAAATCAAAAATTTTTAAAATTGGAACCACGTAAATATGAAATTGGTCATTGTGGAATAAATGGAACTAATGATTATATTATTTTCATGTGTGAAAATAAGAAAATAGAAAAAATTCCAAATTCATATACATGTGAATTCAACAGAAAATCTTTAAAGAAAAAAATTATTAATGGAATCGAATGTTTTGAAATAATTGATACTGGTGTATATACTATCTATAGAGATTCTAAAGTTTATGATAGAATAACTATTGCTGAAATTCGAACTTATTATCACAATGAAGATGATGATATTGAAAATTTTACTATTTCATATATTTAATTTTCTTTAAAGTAATTATTTTTAATTATTAATATTTAATTAATTTAGTTTATTTTTATATACGTATATTATAAATTTATTTATATTTGTATTACTTATTAAATTTTATTCTATAACATATATTATTTATATAAATAAAAGAAAAAATTAATAATATAAATTGTCGTACGTACATATCTATAAAACTTTATATAATGACGATCATTTTAATATTGTATCATACTATTAAATCTATCGATACACATCATTCTTAAAGTTATCGTAATTAGTGATGTTAGAAATGATGTTTATCAATAATTACGATAACTTTAAGAATGATGTGTATCGATAGATTTAATAGTATGATACAATACTTAAAATTTTCGAATATCATAAAGATGTTATACGCAGCAAAATTTGTGACGTTTTGATTTTTTTTTCTAAAATATATACCAACTTTTTTCTTGAAATTTTTTTTGAAACGTCACAAATTTTGCTGCGCATAACATCTTAAGAAAATTCTATTTTTCAATATGTCCAAACCACCTACACCAACTGAAAATTCTCCTGTCGATCTTACTAACGAAAATGTTGCTACCACTACTCCTCCTCCACAAACAAATGGCACTTCCACTACTACCACTTCTATCCCACAAACTAATGGTACTTCTTCTCCTGTTTTACAAGTTAAAGAAACTAAAAGAAAACGACCTATCGAATACATCGAAGATGACATCCTCGACGTTGAGCAGCAAATTATAAAATTGAAAAAAAGTAAATATATTTTTTTTTATTTAATATTTTTATTTATTTATTTATTTTTTTTTTATTCTTATTTCATATTACTTAGGAAAAAAGGAACTTGAAAACGAATTAATCGAAGCGAAAGAGGAATTAAAAGCAAAACGTTTAAAGAAAAAATTGAAACAATATGAGTTGAATGAATAATAAACTTAGATTTTTTTTTCTTGCATTGTAATTTTTTTTACTTGCATATTTTTTTGCTTGTATAATTTCTTATAATAAAACTATAATATGTATTTGCGTTTACATTGTTAACATATAAAATATTGATAATAAAATCATATAAATGAACTAAAAAGTATTTCTATGATTATAATATTTTTCTGAAGATTTCTTAGAATATATATAAGCTTTTTCTTCATCTATTTTAGTATATCTACCATATCTATAATATCCTACAACAATATTCATTCCCTTTAGATAACCTAAATCCGCAGATTTTTTAAAATATTCAAATGCTTTCTTTTCATCTTTTTTAACTCCTCTTCCATTTTGATAACAATATCCAATATTAACCATTCCATCCAAATTACCCATTTCAATAGTTTTTTGATAATATTTGAAAGCTTTTTCTTCATCTTTTTCAATTCCAATTCCATTCTCATAACATTTTCCAATTCTACATACTGCATCAGCCAATTTTAAATCTGCTGCTTTTTGATAACAATCAAATGCTTTTTTATAATCTTGTTTTATTCCTTTTCCATATTCATAACAAAATCCTAATTTAAAAATTCCTTTAACATTTTTCATCATTGCACATTTTTTATATAAGTGAAATGCTTTTAACCAATCTTTTTCACGTCCAATTTTTTTTTCGAAACAAATTGCAAGAATGAATAAAACTTTTGGATTTTCATAATTTTGATTATAATATTCAGTAATATCTTTTAAATATTCTTTTATTTTTTCTTCTTCTTGTATTTTACCATTACTATACATATAATGAATATTGTTTGAAACATGAATTGAATCATATATTTCATTAATGATTTTATCAAGATTATTAGACGACATTTTTTATTATATAATTTGAAATGATAAAATCATATGTTTATTAAATATAAATTTTAGTATTATTAATTATCATATAATTTTAATTTAAAATATGGTTATTTGTAAATAAATAAATAAATAAATAAATAAAATTAATAATATTAAATATATAATTTTTAATAATAATTAATAATTATTCTAATACTTTTCTTGAATAGAAATAAGCTTGTTCTTCATCTTGTTGTGTTCCAAAACCTTTTATGTAACAAAGAAAAAGTTTTGGTATTCCTTTTGAATATCCTAAGTCTACAGATTTTTTATAATAAAAAAATGCTGTTTTACTATTTCGTTTAAATTCATTTCCACCATAATAATAACTATCACCTGTCATATATGCTCCTTTTGGATGTCCTAAATCAGCTGATTCTTTAAAATAGATTTTTGATTTATTCAAGTCTTTTTTCACACAAATTCCCCATCTATAACAATATCCTACATAATATATTCCTTCAATATTTCCCATTTCTGCAGATTTCATATAATATTCGAATGCTTTATTTTCATTTTTTTTAACCCACTTACCACTTCTGTAAGAAAATGCAAGAATCAATAAAGTTTTTGGATTGTCTTGGTTCTTTAAACAATATGTAATAACATCTTTTGGATTTATTTTAAAAATTGATTCAATTTGTGAATTATTGATATAATAATCATATATTTTATTAATGATTTCATCAAAATTATTAGACATTTTTTATTTTATAAATTAAAATCCCAAAAATTGCATTCATTAAATATTTAATCATATTATTAATTTCTTATTTTATTAATAAATCATATTTAAATAATATATATATTTTTTTACATATATAAAAACATAATTTCAAATATAAAAATTCATATTTAAATTATTTTAATAATTTTTCTGAATAAAAATAAGCTTTTTCTTCATCTTTTCCTATACCAATACCTTTATTATAACAATCTATAAGTGCTCTTAATCCTTGTTTTTGTCCTAATTCTGCTGATTTCATATAACATCCAAATGCCTTTTTCAAATTCTTTTCAATACCCCATCCATAATTATAACAAACTCCAAGATCATATATTCCTGTAACATAACCCATTTCAGCTGATTTTTTAAAATATTCAAATGCTCTCTCTGCATCATATTTTATTTCATAACCTTGTGAGTAAATAAATCCTATCATATAAACCCTATCACTATATCCTATATCTGCAGATTTTTTATAATAATTGAATGCTTTTAATCTATCTCGTTTAACTCCATAACCACCATGATAACATATTGCAAGAACAAATAAACATTGTGGATTTTCTTTATTTTTTAAGCAATATTCATAAACATCTTTATAATCATAAATATTATAATTATTATCTGTAAAACATTTAGATATTGTTACAAATTCAAATTCTTCATATTGTAATTTATTAATGATTTCATTAATAACTTTGATAATTTTTTCTGTCATTTCTTATTGATAAAAATACTAAAAAAAAAAATAAAAGATTAAATATTTATTTTATATTATTAATTTTTTATTTATTAATTTATATTACTAATTTTAAAATAAAAACTTATAATAAAATTTATTTATATATTTAAACTTAAATAATAAATACATCTTTATAAAATAATATATTTCAAATTCTAATCAATTATTAATATTCTCTAAACTTTTTTTCAAGTAAGAATAAGCCTTTTCCTCATCATGTTTAACACCAATACCTTCAATATAACATTTTAAAACTTCATATATTCCTTCTTCATCTCCTAGATCTGCTGATTTTTTATAATATTCAAATGCTTTTTCTTTGTTTTTAAAAACACCAATTCCATACTGATAACAATATCCTGTATTAAATGCTCCTATACTATAATTTAAATCTGCGGATTTTTTATAATAATAAAATGCTTTAAAGTCATTTCTTTCAACACCAATTCCTTCATCATAACAATATCCAACAGTATTTATTCCATTAAGATTTCCCATTATTGCTGAACTTTTATAACATGAAAATGCTTTACGATCATCTTTTACACATCCAATCCTATTTTGATAACAAAAACCTAATTTAAATATTCCATTAATATCTTGGATATTAGCTAATTTTTTATAATATGAAAAAGCTTTATTGTAATCTTTTACGGTTCCAATTCCATATCTATAATTACATCCAAGAATAAATAAACATTTTGGATTTTTTTGATTCTTTAAACAATATTCAACAATATCCTTTGATTCGTAATTGTTTTTTAAATATTTTTTTATTTTTTTAATTTCTGTTTCTTTATTATAAAATTCATATATTTTATCAATAATTTCTTTATTCATTTTATTGATCATTTTGATATTATACAATATTAAAAAAAAAAATAAAAGATTAAATATTTATTTTATATTATTAATCATTTGTTTATTTTATTAAAAATATTAATAATTTTATAATAATAAAATATAATAAATAAATAATTAAAATTAATAATTAATTATATTAAAATTAAAATTACTATGTAATGAAAATCCTATATTTTTATAATCACATTGTTCCAATTTATATTCTGAATAATTCAATAAAAATAAATATATAAAAATTCGAATCACTGTTAAACTATATTTTTTACCAGGACATTCTCTAATACCTTTACCAAATGGAATATAAAAATATGTTTTTAAATGATTATTATTAATGAATCTAGATGGATCAAATATATTCAAATTATTAGTTTCTTTCCATGATGAATTATTATAATGAATTACATATGCATTAGACATTATCATAGTACCCTTTTTGATTTTGTATATATTATTATTTATATTCAAATCAAAATCATTAATTACTTGATTATTTAATAAAGAAAAAGATGATTCATATCTAAACACTTCATAAATAAATGCATTTAAAATTTTACATTTTACTAGTTTTTTATAATCATTATTTTGAATCATTTGAATTTCCATTAAAATATCAATTTTTTATTTAATATTTTTTTCATTATATAAATGCCAAATAATCGACATGATACTTAATTTGATTATATTTAATTCTAATAATGTTGTTGTTATAATATCATCCAATAAACTATCTGATGATAGTTTATATTTTGTATTTTCTTTAATAAAATATTTAATAAATATATTATTTACATCATTAACCATTTCTTTAAAAATATTTCGAATATTTTTAATGTTTTGACTTATTCTGTATGATTCTATTGTTAATGGAAATAGAAAATTAAATATTCGATTCCATATCTTTTTAGAATCAAAATATATATCTTGAAAACATATCATTAGTGCTTTAATAATAGGTATTTTTTCTAATTTAAATTGTTTATTTAAAATTGTCACATTGTATAATTTAATGTTTCCATTCCAAAAATAATTTCCAGAAACATTTTGAACAAAATTATTTAATAAATCAGATATATTAATTTTTTCTTTAGAATTATATTTTTCATTTAAAATATGAAATTGATTAAAAGAAATTTGTATTAAGTTATCAATATTCTTTATAGAATTTAATAATATTTTTTTACGTGTTTTAAATAAAGGATCAAAAGTAGATGTGAATGATAATGAATTTTTTCCAAGATTTTTAAATGCAGCAAAACTTTATCTATCAATATTAACACCTTGGTGGTTGTATATTGCTTAACAAGATTCCTTAGTGATCCTATATAATTGAATATTCATATTAGAAATAACACCAATTAAATCATTTTTAACTATAGGAACAATTGAATAACGATTTTTGTTTTGTTCTAATGCTTTACTTAATAATTTTGATCCAATAATAATTTTAATTCCTTGTTTTTGGTAAAATTAACATAAAAATATTAATTTTAATATTTTTATTAAAAATATTATTAAAATAAATATAATAATATAATAAATCATTTTTATTATTTTTTATTTTTTTTTTTTTAATTTTTTTTTTTAAATTTTATATAAAATAAAAATTAATAATATATTATTAATAAAAAAAATATTTAAAATCAATACTATTTTTGAAATAATTAATTAAAAAAAAATTAAAAAAATAATTTTTTTAAAACAAAACAAAATGGGAGGATTTTTAATTTGGATAATTACATTTGCATGTTTTTGTGCATTTATGACAAA